GTAATAAACTTGAAAAATAAGCAACAGCTACGCCATAGTAACCAGAATAATACAAATGATAAACGGGAGAGCGAGGACGAAGATCAAAGGCGACGAGGTTTTTTTGATAGCTAAGCGAGAGGATGACCTTATTGGTGTCCTTGGAAATGGCCTAAGGTGTGAGAGGCGCGGAAGTGATACCACCAAACCAAGCGGAAGTAGAATGCAAGTCGACGGTGAAGATTTTCTCCCATATTGTCTTGTCATTAGCCCTCCACCAAAATTCTTGCTTACAGTGCTCGTTCAAAAGAGAAATGCAGAGACGGCCATCGAGATTGCATACACCGATTCTGTCACCAGAGACATCAGGGGAAATAAAAGGTGGGGCTGGGATGAGTTGGAACATCTCTGTATGAATATCGAAAACTATGAGCTTGGTTTCATGTGTTGGAAGTCCTTCTCTATCTCGCGTCGTGATCCAGTAGAATGATCCGTCTGCAAACGTTGGTCTCTGACTATACATTACGTAGTGATGATCATCATCAAGACTAGTGGTATTCACGAACCTCCATTTTTTTTCCCCTCTAAATCCAAAACCTCGCATACGGTGGAACTAGTAGTTGTGCTTGTAGGAGGATATTGATTATATAGCTATACAAGTTTATATCTTCCAGTGACAATGTCTTTCCCAAATCCAAACCGATTAAATGCACGGAATGGATTTGGACTTGGATTTTTTTTTTAGGTTAGCTGAAGAGCCGGGTGGGGATGATCAATAAGAAGTTGCTGAATATTAGCTAGAGGGAGTGATATGGACACACCAGTGGCAGGATTCATGACTCTGACCGGTATTGACGTGTCGTGGATGCAGACAAGACCGTCGGAGCTCTCGGAAACCTCGAGAAATTCCCCTTTGAAATTATGTGGCCGTGTGTGTTCTAAAGAAGCTGTCTCCTCCTCCAATGTCACTGTCTTAATGAAAAGTTTCATCAGAATTTCTTCGAAGATATCGTTGGGGATCTGAATCTTCGTAGGCGAATACTTCCAAGCTTGTTTGATTGTGATTATAAAGGGTCTCTTCTTCTCCATGCATCTTCTTCGTTTGGTCTCTCTTCCTTGTTCTAACGAATCCATCGCTGTCTTCTTCTTCTTCCAAGATTCGATTTCCAAANTCAACCAGAATTCGTAAAAAAAAAAACAAAGAAGACTTTAGGACAAATATCAGCTCTGTCACAAGCAGTAAATCTAGGACAATTGTTCGGCTGATTCTTGTACCAAAACCCTCTCTGTCTTCTTCCTACTCCCCAATTTCAGCTCTGTCACAAGCAGTAAATCTAGGACAATTGTTCGGCTGATTCTTGTACCAAAACCCTCTCTGTCTTCTTCCTACTCCCCAATTTCAGCTCTGTCACAAGCAGTAAATCTAGGACAATTGTTCGGCTGATTCTTGTACCAAAACCCTCTCTGTCTTCTTCCTACTCCCCAATTTATAACCCCTCTCCGTATCCGTCTTGTCTTCTCCTACCTATATTCGATTTCCTACTTCTTTCAGAATTCGTCCTAATTTTTCTTTTTTGGTAATTCCGTCCTAATTTATTATAGGTTAATTGCAAAAATAACCAAAAAAATTTAGTAATTAAAAAGTAACAAAAATGAGCAGCACCATTTTAACCAATAAATTTAGATTAAATGGTTAGGAATCCTATATATAAAACTTGAGGACGACGTCATGGTCGAGACGGATATGTGGGGAAATTTTGCTTCGTGAGAACCTCCAATCGACATCATCGCGCTGACGGAGGAATAACGGATACGAAGGCCATGTGATGACGAGGATCACCAGCGTTTTTAGCTTTTCATTACATTATATTTACAAATTTCAGATCCTCCAAATCCCTAATCTTAGTTTTAAAGGAAATAAACTCTCTGTTTTTTTTTGCTTTTCCCTTTTGAGGTGTTTTTTTTTTGTTAAAAGTTTTAATGTGGAGAATTTCCATTCTATGTGTGATTTTGATTGTTTCCATCCGTCATGATTTCAATAAGGAGTCACCAATTTTTGATTTCGCGTGATTTATAGAATGTAAACGATTTCGTTGTGATTTCGCGAGTTACTTCTCTGTGACGGAAGGAGGAGAGGGATGAGAAAAGAGACCAACCGAGGAGTTGAGGGGAATGGAACAATAGTAATGGTTTGAATTTATCACTCTTTAATATGAAAAAGACCAACGGAAAAGTTGAGAGGGACAATTAATTTTAAGCAATAAGCAAGTATCAAGAAATTATTTGCTGGAGGAACATATAAAAAATATTACCATATTGTTAAGATACTATAATTCACAATGGGATCCAAGTATAGTTTTGGTAAGGACAAAACACAAGAATTTTGATTGGATTTTTTTTTTTTGGTGGGGGTATGAATATTTGATCATATTGAGTGGAGTAGTTTTCATTTCTGTTTTCAATCTTTCGACCAATAAATTAAAAATTACAAACTATAATAATGGCGATTTTATGAAAAGATAGACACACAATTATACAGATGAGTGGTCATATATAGAGTTACATATGATAACGATATTGGTTGAAAGCAATTCCATATTCGTAAGGATTTCCAAACTCTTCAATTCTATATATAGCGGGAATGATAAAAACAAAATTGTTCTATTTCATCAATTCATTATTTTGCGAGATTATAAAGTATACTTTAAGAAAATATCCCGCGTGTATACGCGGGCATTCATCTAATTCAATTATAATTTTTTTTGATGGTTAATTGTGCTAATTTCCCATTTATAAACATACTTTTCCGACATTAAGCTTATATATATATATATTTTTTTTGGTATCATTTTGATTGAAGTTTTACAGTTCAATTTTGTTCAACGGTGGATTCACCGAAACTAACTCGGAATCAAATTGATAAAGGCAATTAAAGAAAGAGACTTATCTAAGTTAAGAGCATTATTTTTTCATTTCGACAAAAAAAAAGAGAATTGTTTTCGTTTTATCGTAAAAGGAATTAGAAATTTGGCTGCTATTGTGGATACGAGAACACCTCATTATTTATTTTGATTCGAAACAATGGTGGCTAATATGTCATAAAAAATGTTTGTCTTTACTTAATTTCTGATGAAGAAAAGACCATTAATTTCTCTTTGTATTTCATATATCGAATTTCTTCTATGATGTAATGTTTTAAATCAGATTTAATAAAACAAAGTTATAAAAAAGAGTGGAGAAACAAGTGTTTATAACAATGAAAGGAGTTAACGAATAACAACTATAATAGGCTTATATCAGGCCCTCATATGTTCCTGGTGGTACTGAAAGGCTACAACATCATTGAGCATCATGAAGCATATATATGATATTTGTAATCAATGAATCTGCAGAATAATAACTTAAAATATTGTTTGTGATTGTATGCTTTTTTGCATATGATGGTTCAAATGTCGGGATCATAGTAGTAGTAATAGAGACATAATTCATCACAATCTTCCGAGATTCAACTATTTTTGATTTAGTACTGCCATCGCATTAAACCATGTGAGAGAGAAGGTGAATCATGAAACGTTTTTTGATTTAGTACTGCCACGTGGTCTCCTCTCCTTCTCTCCCTGCTGACGTGGCACAACATGGAGGAGATAAGAAATGGGAATCGATTCACGATTAAGAAGCTCTCTAAACTCAAAAACCCTCGAGATCTCTGAGAAGGGGAAGAAGGAAATCCCATTTTTCTTTCAAAT